GGGCTGTATCTTTTGATTGCGTTAACTTAGAAGATTGGTTCTTTCACAGCTCCAAGGGTTTTCAGACCTGAGTGTTTTGTATTAATTTCAACTTGATACCACCTGAGAAAAACGGTTTAACCGAAAGACAGATATACAGTCCAATATGAACTGGTCCTGTAAGGGTTTCTTTTTTCATTTTGAAGTACAAAACCATACGAAAACACGTAAAACCTAGAAAGGTCTAATTTCGAGTTCAATTTACTATTTTACTTATTCTGCTCATAGGAATTTTTTGATCGATTCGACTTTCCATCTGTACCGCTAAATGTTCAGTTACTTTTTCAGTAAAATTGGAAATATTAATGTGAAAATTTATTTAATTTTTATCCACCACAAATTACCTTGAGCAAGGAAAGGATGCACACTGTCACCTGTACTTTTTAATCTATACATCGAAGACGCGATCAAGATCATTAAAGACAGTACAACTGTAGGGATAGATATACAAGGGCAAAAGGCAGTATTATTAGATTTGCAGATGATATAGCAGTATTAGCATCTAACAAGGAAGAGTTAGAGATACCTTTAAATAAAATGGAATATTGTATGTAAATAAATAAAAGTAAAACAAAAATACTGGTATGCAAGGGAAGAAGAAGTAGGGAAAAAGCGAATATAAAAATAGGAGACGAAAAATGGCTTATTTTAGGTATCTAGCATGTCAAGATGGAAGAAATAGTAGAGATATAAAGCACATGATAGCGCAGAGTTGAGTTGGCTTCAATAAAAAGAAGTCACTTTCAGTAGAAATAAAACAGGATCGAGTCAAGTCGGTTAATTTAGAAATTCGAAAAAGATTGTTAAAGGTATGTCTGTACGGGGGCGAAACATGGACGGTGGGCGCGGCAGAAAAGAAAAGGTTAGAAGCGTTCGAAATGTGGTGTTGCTGGCTATTGATGAGGATACCATGGGTAGAGAGCTTCTCCTCTTCTTAAAGGATTCAAATCTGGCACAACACAATTTTTTATCCACAAAGAAAGTCTTCAGCAAATAACAATAGGGATAACAAAATAAGGCATTTTCCACGTCGCTATCGAAAATCTATTCTCATAAAAAGCACATAAATCCTTTGAAGTACTGATTGACTTTTTTACCCCTATTTTTGTTGTTTGTGTTATGTTTGACTTATTTAGTTCAGACGGTCCACGTCCCTCCATTTCAAGTCTTTTTTCATAATTTGAGACCGTTTTAAAATTAAATATTTTAAGTCGTTTGTGTGTATCTGACATCACTGAAAGAAATGCTAAACTTGCTAGATCGATAACTTCCAATTGAAATCGATTCAATTTCGGATCGAGCTGGCGACATCATTACACTATGGTAGTTCGCACCCGTACTGCATGGAGAGTATATTTCTTTGTAATTGCCAACACATAATAAGAAGAAGAATTATAGGGTAAATTTGAAATACGGCCCGCTATCCCACGCGCGCACTCCAGAAGTGCTGGTGATGGAAATTGGAACAATTTTAATGGAAAAACATTATCGAGTCTTTTCAATCAAAATAAATAAACAAGAATGTTACTTATCGTTATCGCTTCAATGTATAAAAAATTGTCTGGCTTTTATTTGATAAATTGAAAAAAATCTGTTGTATATATTGCATTATGATTGGATGGTGGGTCATTGTCCGAATGACCATAAGGGAAAACCGCCAGTATCAACCATTATGTACAATCGCTATTCCATCAGATATTGTCTGTAACGTGTATACTTCCTACAGCATTTAACAACTAATCGTGCGCATGCATATCATTCTTTTAATAAATTTATTAGGTGTTCTTTTTACATTCTTATAACAGTATAGAAGAATCATTACAATTAAGTTGTAATATTGTAAAATAGAATATGGTTGATGCGCTTACAAAGAAACTCAGTATCTATTCAATAATTTTAGATAAGGATGTTTTTAAAAGCTACATTAATCATATCTTATCCGATTGATATCATTATGGTTTATGATTATGTTGAGCGATTAGGTCTCTGCGATCAACAGGAGATAGGAAGTAGATGTCTACTGTAGGCCGATTTTCCAATTTTCACTGTGAATCTCTACAACCGTCGCGACGGTAATGGATGAACGCAGCTAACGATATATGCACATAGATTTTATTATACTTAGATTTAAGAGAAGAATTAATAGAAACACTTAGAAATCAACAGTATAGAATTTTACTTACAATTAGATAAAGTATAATTATGAGAAAACCCCGTGTAAGTAACTAGATATAAAGTTTAAGAAAATATTTTACAAAAATATAACTTCTTCATCGTCTTCTCGGTATCTCTTTTAAATTTTTAAATGGCTAGTGGATTGTTGATGCTTGCTTATATCTGTAAAATTTTAAACTGACATAGTTTAACCATCCCGACTGGAAATTAATAGTTAGTGGATTGGATCCGATGCGGATCAGAATTGCCTGAAGATTGATCAGAAATAAATCAGGCTTTCTGATCCGGGTATGATGGAAAATCGTCACGCCATATATGATCAACATAGGATCCATTTGAAAAATCCATGTCGGATCTGTTTCTAAGATCCATGACGGATCCGTTTGTTTGACGAACAATATTGCATACAGAATAAATCAGGTAAAAAATAAAGTTCTGTATTATGATCCAGTTCAGAACATCGGATACAATCTTGATTTAAAGATTGTACCGAAACCGTAATAGAATTTGTAGCATTAGATTGTGATAAGAAATTGGTCAGATGACTGGATTAAGGGATAGGATACTCTACTATGATCAATTTCTGATCAGATGGTTGGATCAACAGATAGAGTACTGTGCGCTGATCAATTTCTGATCGGATGACCAGATCAAGGAATGGAGTACTGTACTCTGATCAGAAACTGATCAGATCGGTGGATCAACGGATAGAGTACTGTACTCTGATCAGAAACTGATCAGATGGGTGGATCAACGGATAGAGTACTGTACTCTGATCAGAAACTGATCAGATGGGTGGATCAACGGATAGAGTACTGTACTCTGATCAGAAACTGATCAGATCGGTGGATCAACGGATAGAGTACTGTACTCTGATCAGAAACTGATCAGATGCCCGTATTACGGGAAATCTGATCCGCATCTGATCATAATCCGTGTTCTCTGAACTAATTTCCAGTCGGGATGTTGCTAATGGAAACATCTGATTCAACGTCCTGAAAGTAGAGCAGCGGTACCTACCTTAAAAAAAAAATTGTATTAGAAAAGTCGAAAAAACAATTCTCTGCTTAAAAGCGCAAATAATCAGAAGTTATTGATGTTTTACAATAAATACAATAGTTTTGTAAATTATATCAGGTTTCTTATCTCCAGGAAGGTTATCACTAATTTGTCCATATAAAATAGACGCACAAAATCGATAAAATACATTTTTTTAAATTTTACGTAGACAGCCAGTTATATACAATTACTTGCACATGCTTGATAAGAAAATAATCATATTTTTTTATCAGTATGTACTTTTGGTACCAAATACTTCAACTTTTGTGGTTACTATTTAGGCAAAGGTCTCGGTTAGTACACTCCAATTTTGCTGAAGCTTTAGTGCAGTTCGCTATGCTAAATAAAAACCAAAATTACGTTCACGTTACTATAAACAATAGGAAGGATATGACAACTATAATATTTACTCCGTTCGTGTTGACTTTTCCTACTGTAATCGTATGACTCTAACCTAACCGAACTTAGGAAGAATGCTTCTATTTGATCAAGATGTTTTGTTTGTTTACAGGAAGGTCAACTAAGCAGAAGTAAAAACTTCGGCCCATCGTTATTATTATTAAATAGGAATATAATGATAATAAATACCATAAATGTTAAAGTAGGTATAACTTATTAACAGATTACGAAGATATTTGACTACGTCACAGGAATGATCCCGTATGAATAGTTTCAAGCAAACATTCAATTAATCTATCTAAAAGCTAGAATATTTTCTATTTCAAGAAAAAAGCGCGAACTCATACTTCTTCGATTTCTTTATACATCTGAAATCAGGGAAGTCCATTTTAGATAAGGTTTAAGTTCTATGATAACTGTAATTTAATAGAGAGAAAAAACAAAACTATTTTTACATTAACCAGAACTGCCTGATAAAATAATGATAATATGTATACCTAATAATATATTTTTTCTTCTTAATACACTGCGCCTATTCGTAAAAAGCTCATGATACATACATAAAACTTTTTATAGCTTGTTTGTTTTGCAACATATTACACTTTTAGTGTTTAACGTGAGAGTTTTTCAGAAGAGTTTGAGTGGAGGTACTGTATATTAAGAGCAGATGAATTTACTAAGAAAATTAAAAAAAACAACCATTTTAATCTAATATCAAATCGATATTGCTCTGTCACTTTAATTAAGTACATAAAAAAAGAGTAGAAAGTGTGGGTTGCCCCAGAGAAACAACCCCAGTAAAAAAACCTCATTAAAACAATTCCCCGGGAAAATTGCCCTATCGACAAAAAAATTATGTTAAACGGGAACATGTATTGTAAATTGAGTACCATTACCTTTTATATGTGTATAATAGTGTTTCATTTTAAATAAAACTGTTCATTTTCTCGTTAATTTTCCTTTTTTTTTGGGTAAAGCTCACAATGATGGTCTTTGATTTATTTCTTTTATTTTTCTTTTTATTTAAAGTCTCGTTTTTCCGAAGGGGCATATTTTACTGAGGTTTTTTTTTGGAGAATAAAAATTTTCCGGCGCTTTTTCACCAGAGTTTTCCTGGATTTGGGCAGCATAACTTGTTCCGTATGCGGACGCTCAGACGGCTAGCGATGAGCCTGCATTTTATATTTAAACTAATGAATGATTTTTTCCATTTTTATTTTATTACTATAAATTACTCATTACGGTTGCGTGTTTCATCATCAACTACGTAATTTTTGCACTTTGTGCTTTGTGGCGTCAGGTTTTGCAAAAAGCTAGTATCTCGCTTCGTTGCAAATATTTAACTTCACTTATTCCCATCAAGTACAAAATGTTATAGACATCTGTTTATCATTGATAACATAGTTAATAATCTCGCATAAGTGCCATACAAAATCAGCATAAGCGTCAAGTGTTGCGGTAACATGAACTGTAAAATCGGTAGTGCTATCATCATTTACTGTTCCGGTCTTGTAAAAATCAACATAAGGTATGTATCTTTTAGAAACGTGAAATAAGGAAACATTTGAGAAGAACTTAGGTCATATCATATATTATAAATGGTAATTTTTAAAAAATAATAAATATTAAGTTTAAATTGCACATTTAAAAAAATGTGTACGTCCTTGTTGTGACTTTTATCGTTAGAAATTAACTGTTTAAAGTGTCTTTCAGTAAAAATACTTTTTACTAATTTCAGTCTCAGTTACATTCGGTCTGACTTACCTCCTAAATTTACAGATAGCAGACACGTTTCCAAAAAAAAAAATTATGATTACATAATATATAATGTGTTTAAAAACACGTAAACTATGTTTTTTTGTTTTTTAAATGTAATCTCCCTAAACCACCATAAAATGCAAAAAATTTGAATTTTTTAAGCCAAATCAAAATGTAATCTTCGATTTTAACTTCTTTTCTCGGTATAATAATGTATTTTTTATACACATACGATTAATATACATACACTCACTTAAAATACTGAACAGGAAGTACGAAGTACTTTGTTGTTTATAAATTATAATAATTACACTTCATTATAATACTTTACGTATCTAATATAGTAGGTTTAGAAGGGAAATATGTTCAGTCGGAATAGCCAATGATAGTATATTCTAGAATTAGGCGAGTTCTTAAAATAAAACGTTTAATAAAAGAATGATACTTGTTAAATGGCTCTCGGTATCCGGGACATTGTTGAATTTTAATTGAAAATCACTAATATTCGATTGTCGTAGAGTATGATAATATGTACTAATACATTAGCGAATCCCTCGGCGACGGAACCATCGATAACAGTACCTACCTATTTGCCCAAGGACCTTGTTAGATCCTTACGGAAAATAACCATTTCTTAAACACTGGATTAAAAGACTCAATGCACTATAAGTTGTAAAAACTCATTTTTTGAGATATGATCCATTAAGGTTGCATTATTTCGTAAGAACTTCCACGGTACAATTATATATAGGCTGTACCTATTGAATATATACATGTGCTGATGTCATTTTTCATAAGGATCTAGCGGGGTTATTTGAACAGATTTTTACTAGTTTCGTGATTGTTAAATCAGTAAGTGGTAAATAACAAGTTGCTTTTTATTTCATATTAATCACTATTGTAAATTGTTTGTTACGTAGAAACTTAAACGTGCTTTTTTCTGTGTACATAAACAATAAAAGTGAATTCTATTCCTTTGGACAAAAAATCAAGAAAAGCTAAGAGAAATGTATAATTTGTTTCTTAAAATATAAGCTCTCAAGTTATATTTTGAACCTAAACTTTCCAATTTGATGATATTTTATTTTCTTTGGAAATATTTTTTTTTCGTGCAATATAATTTACAAATGCATAATATTAGAAAATTTAAGCTAAATAAAATAAACAAACATTTAGCAATGTACCTGTTATCTACCTTTTTACATTTGATAGGGTCTTATCTTCAACAATAACAATAATATTGCAATAAATTTTGAAAATGCAGTAAAACTCCGAAAAGGTTTCACTTACATTTACACAATTAAGGGCAAATAGAGAAGTGTCAAGTTCTATCAACACAATTTAGAAGAACGTTAATCATTTAAAGGACGTAACTTCCCTAAAAAAGAAGGAACATTTTATTTTAAGTAGAGAATAAAGTTTGATTATTTACTTGTATATTTAGTAAATTAAAATAGTGAAAATGAAAAATTAGTTTCAATTAAGTTCTTAAAGTAAATCGTTTGTTAAATGGTAAAAAAAATTAACAAGCTCCACAAATTTGAAATTAGAACCCTACTTTTTAAGAATTTCATGTTTTCTTCATTATATCTTTAGTCTTTATCACATTGTACGCGTGTACATAAATTATCTCTTCGTAATTTCTCGATAATCTATATCGCTTTATTCAATTTAAAAGTTTTCACCAGATTAAAGTTACGAACCAATCCTCCACTGATATACATATATCGTTTAATTTTCCTCCCGTTTAAGGATGTCGATATTGTTCGTGGTTCTCCTGGTAGGCGGGTCCACAGCATTTTCCTTTCGTAACCTAGGATACGAAAATTCCAACGAACCAATGCCGATGCAAGTTGGAAGTTCACTTTGCGCCGAACTCTGTCAGAACGGCCTAATCGTAAGTGGAAATCAGTGCGTCGAAAATTGCTTGGCTACGCAAAGTGAAAACGTCTTTCCCGTTTGCCAGGAGATATGCCGTCTCAAAGTCGACATTTTAAAGTGCGAATGCGAAGCCCATCAATCAAAAAAAAGTTCCAGTATTAATGTCGAAAAGATCTGTGACGTTATTTGTGAAAATGGAATAAAATTAGCGGTATGTGATTTTTGTAGCGACAATGAAAGAGAAAAACGAGAGGCCGAGGAAGAGACGACAACGGAAAAAGAAGAAGAAGAAAATGTAGAAACAACAACGGCTTTCGACCAGGAAGCATTTTGTAAGGAAGAGTGCGCGCAAGGGAATGGTGGATCGGCTTGTAATTGTGATATTTTGCCTTTGAATGCTGTATTGAGTGTATAAGTAAATGTGGTTATAATAATACTAATCAAATATACATAATATAACGTACGGCGTCATGAAGAGCTAATTGATTTTTATTTATTTATTTATTTATGAGAAATCAACTATTTAGTGCACGGTGTTAGAATAGATGTCACTTTTAGCGCTATATGTAGCTGGGTCATGACGAAAAAATTACGTACACAATAGCTTACAACTAGTGCAATGCTTAAGCCTCAACTGCTTGTAAAAAATTTATTTATCTCCGTGTAAATATAAGGGATAAGGCCACAAATATCTTATTTTTCAGTTAATTGTAATATAAATTAATAACAAAAGAAAATCGAGTCTTCCAACACTGTACAGATTTTAAGAAACATTGATTCAGCTTTAAACGTACATAATTATATCTTAAATGTGTAACTAATTATCTATACTTAATAAGAATAGAGACAGTTGTTATTTTACACCTGTACCCAATTTCATTTCGTTAATGAAAATCGTAAGTATCAAATAGAGAATGATCATATCATTGTAATTGGTACCGTCATTCGCATATTGTACTATTATTAATTTCATAATTTTATGTTGCAGTGACGTTCTACATACATGCATGATGCATACATACGCAGATACATATATGTATATATAAGTAAGTACATGTAAATGTTGTACCCATTTGCTGAAATCGGCCTTTGACCGAAATTTTTACTCAGAACGCGTTGTGGTTTTCATTATGCCTACCCAGATCGTGTTGTGGGTAAATTAGAAAGTCCCACAACGCGATGTTACGACGATCGTCGAAAACACACGACGGTTTTGACCACTTGAAGGCCGAGCTAGACAGAGCTTTAGTGCTTTGTACTTAAAAATGTACTTCCAAGCTTTTCAGGGTGTAACTCAAACCATTTCATAAATAAATAGTTGGGTCTTGATAAACAAATTACGTATTTTGTTGTTTGCAATTCAAAACTCAAATGTAATTGGGGCGCCAAGGATTAAAGTACTTTAAGTAAAAGATCTTGGCTTAGAGTTAGAGCTGTTTTGGTGAAGGCTTTGCTTAGATCTACTTAAAAGTTAGATTTTTGATTGAAAAGTTTCTCTGGTTCATTTTAAACTATAGCCCAGTCTTCAAAAGGTGGCAAAAACCTTTAAAAAAAATTGTATTGTTTATAACCCGAAAACCGTCGTGTGTTTTCGATGATCGTCGTAATTTTGCGTTGTGGGTATTTAAAACGTACCCGAAACACAATGTGGGAAACACCGAAATGCACAACGCGTTCTAGGTTAAAATTTCGGTAGTTACGTACAACATATGTAGACAAGAATAGCTTTTGAGATTTGAAACCTTTTTGACCTTTTCGAAAGGTAATTAAATTATGAAGCTATTAAAAATATGGAAATTAATTTAATTCCTGAATCCTTGTTAACAGAAATGCAAGAATAATTAATGTAGCCTGTCGAAAATACTTGGAAAAACTCTTGCGCTCAGCATTAAACTTTCGCTTACAACAATGCAATTTGACTGATAGAATTCCGGATCTTAAGTTGAAGTCTCAGACTATTCTTGTAGACCTGTACCTACTCAACTCTTTGTATTTAACATTTTATTTCGAATACTTACATATATTTGTAACTTTTTGTGATGTTTATTGTAGTTTTAAATTTTTCGATTTCCTACTTCGAGTCAATAATTTTAATTGTGTAAAATTAATGTTCGAAAAATTACCTTACTACATACATAATATTGTCGCTTATTAATAAAGTACCAGTCAACGTAAATAAAACTGCCCATTGTGATAGTAAACCGTTTCATTTACGTGGATTTGCTGTACTTGTAATAGGTATGTAGTGTAGTATTTATCTCCCGTTGGCAAGATATTTGTTAGAATAGAATTATTCTAATCATTATTCCTTGATTTATTGAACTTTTCAAGATGTTGTGTATGACAATAACTAAGTATACTAGGAATAAAATATATGTTCTCTGGCTTTTGTGACATCAACTAATAAATTGTTTATAAAGCACATTTATAACGAAGTTTCATTAATACTTACCTAATTTTAATAAAAAGATATTAAGTAAGTATTATATGTACACTAAATCGCTGGTCGCTATATTTTCTCTCGTATTGTCGAACAATTTTATTCGGTTATTAGCATATTCGGATAATTTCAAGCCCATGAATCTAGCGGAGCAAAATTAGCAAAACGAAAGACGATATAAGTAATAATTAAGTGCTAATATAAGCCCCCAATAAAAAACTTATTGTTACCTTTTGCTACGCACGCTCTGCTAGCTTCAGATGAACTCAGTAGAGCACTGCTAAACAATTAAAAATAAATCTAATCGAATTAAAATTACTAATTAAATGCCCAAATGAAAAACTTATAGCTTCTTTCGTTTAAACAATATCGCATATTGTGCTAAATTCAGATCAGCTAAACAGAACAGAGTACTGATAAAGAATTAAAAATAAATCAAATTAATGAAAATAAATTGAACTATTAAGGGCTAATTAAATGCCCTATTAAAAAACTATTACCCCCTTTTATTAAAAAAATAGCGCATGTTCTGCTAACTTCAGATGAACTCAGCAGAGTGGAGTAGTGAAAAACAATTAAAAATAAATATATTCGAATGAGAATGAATTGAAAAATTAAGTGCTATTTAAATGCTCCAATAAAATAAATATTGCTCCCTTTTTTTTAATAAATTTCGCATGTAGGTACTGCTAAATTCAGATAAACTCAGAAGAGCAGAATAGTGGCAAACAATTAAAAATAAATCTAATCCAATGAGAATGAATTAAATTAAATGCTAATTAAATGCCCAAATGAAAAACTTATAGCTCCATTTGTTTAAACAATATCGCATGNGTATATGAAACATAGACAATGAGGTAATTATTATAGCGGTTTTTCTCAATGGTGCTAATAACAGTCAGCTGTCAAATCGGAGCAGTCAGAGATTGTCAGAAGAAAGTTTTTATTCAGTTTTTATTCGTGAGCTCTGTTATCAGCTTTAATTAGTGTAGTCTTTTATAAAATTTGGAAACTGTTTAATAACTAATTGAGCATACACGTTACACTATTGTCTCTAAACGGGGCAGGTTAATTAAAATAAGTAAACGGTTTTCTTTGCTCAATTAATAAATTAATGTCTCTTGAAAAGGTAAGTCAGTGCATATGTGTATTATGTATGTTTATTATCCAAACATACGTGACTAATTTCTTTCCCATTCTTTCTTTTAATAACCATTCATCGCTTGATAAATATATCATTACCGTTGTACTTTTATTGTGATATCATTCGATCCAATTCTCACATTTCAATAGTATTTATGTATTTTTTTTATACATAGCCCAAATGAAAAACTTATAGCTCCATTTGTTTAAACAATATCGCATGTTGTACTAGATTCAAATCAGCTAAACAGAACAGAATACTGCTAAAGAATTAAAAATCAATCAGATTAATGAAAATAAATTGAAGAGTTAAGTGCTAATTAAATGCCCCAATAAAATAATATTGTTTCGCATGTTCTCCTAACTTCAGATTAACTTAACAGACCAGAGTAGTGAAAAACAATTAAAAATAAATCAAATTAATGAAAATAAATTGAACTATTAAGGGCTAATTAAATGCCCTATTAAAAAACTATTACCCCCTTTTATTAAAAAAATAGCGCATGTTCTGCTAACTTCAGATGAACTCAGCAGAGTGGAGTAGTGAAAAACAATTAAAAATAAATATATTCGAATGAGAATGAATTGAAAAATTAAGTGCTATTTAAATGCTCCAATAAAATAAATATTGCTCCCTTTTTTTTAATAAATTTCGCATGTAGGTACTGCTAAATTCAGATAAACTCAGAAGAGCAGAATAGTGGCAAACAATTAAAAATAAATCTAATCCAATGAGAATGAATTAAATTAAATGCTAATTAAATGCCCAAATGAAAAACTTATACGAGGGTGGATTGATAAGTTTCCGGCCTGACCAAGAA